GTTTTAAGTGAGTACAATTTACATTTACAAGATAATCCAAATTTTCTTACTCTTCAGTTTAATTAAGTCAGTGTGTGTCCTAAGAGCTGAAAGAGGTCCTTTTAAAGTAGAATCAAGGTGCTGATTTTTACTGTCAAGTTAATTTATTTCAGCCTTACCAGCTGCTAGAAGAGCTTCTTGTCCAACTAATACAAGTCCAATGTTATGATCTTTGCAGAACTGTGTAACAATAGTGTGATTGCTTACTAATACAGCTGAAAAGGAAAAGGAAATACAATTAAGTTACCCCTGTAAAGCCTAAATAAGAGATAGGAGATGAGAATGTCATTGTTCCATCTCCCTAAGAGGTATGATTAAAACAGTGAAACAGCCCATGAAGGGCAAAGTAAAACAAACAATATAATAACAACAAAATCCAGAAGGAACAGTGAACATTTCCAATTTGCACCACTGTTTCTACACATCTGCTAACTTATTAAATGTATTTTATTTGCCATATGTAATCAATATAAACTTTTAAAAACTGCTTATCGTAACATAATAAAGACTTTAAAAAGTAAAACTGTAAGTTCACAAGGAAACTCAATTCCAACATTTGAGCAAAGATGTACTCAATGCCAGTGCATGATGTAGCTAAATTTAGCTGAGCAGCCTGTACAGACATCAGAGAAGTTCCTATCCAGAAGTTAATAACTTTAAGCCTTCTATACCTCTGTTAAGTTTCACTGAAATTAGTCAGTGAATTCAAGCATAACAGTGGGAGGAAAGAGATGAGGTACAGAAACACACAGTCTTGTGTAAGCCTCACTATCTTAAGAAGTTAGTCTAAAAAGATATAGTATGATGCTGTACCCGGCAGTTCTAAAATTTAGAAACAAAACATACAGAAAAAAGTATGTGCCTTAAGTAATTTGTGGTACCACTAAAAGAGAAGAGCAGATATCTCCTACAGATTCAATACAAATGTGGTCAGCTCTGTTTCAGTTCCAACACCCACATTACTGACTGCTTGACACAATATTTCATTTTTTCCCCCTTTTTACCTGAATTTGAAATTTTTCCATTATCAGCTGTTCCTGCATTTCCTGGAGCAACAAACACATGTTTCACATGTGGAGACTGGGCCAACTTCCAGGCCAGCGCATGCTCTCTCCCTCCACTGCCAATCACAAGCACCCGATCAGCCATTAACCTGTGCAAACCCAGAATCATCATATATAGTACTATCTATTTATTTCACAAACACACGTGAAAATAAACAAAAATATATAAATTCTATCTCTCATTTATAATTGTTAAGTAATATCAATCCAATTTGCATTAGAAAGGTATCTATAAGACATCTGAACAAAGTGACTCTTCCAGTAGTGTCACTGGATGGATGCATCATTCACATTTATTTAAATACTGATACTAGTGAAATCACTGAGAATTTTTTCCACTTGTTTCAGCATGGTCAAGATTTCCTCTCTTAAGTATCCAGGCTGAAATAATCTTGTCATGACTAGGTCTCATTGAGTCCTTTATACAATTACTCAGAACAGGACCCAAAGCTTCATGGAAATGGTCTAGGTAAGTTACCAGACAAATATATTTCAAACTGAACACTGTGGTCAATCCAGGAGCTTTTATGAGTGTAAACATCCTCAGTAATAAATGGCAAAGACAGTTTTCAGAACAGATTTTATACTTTGACAATTGCTAAGAGGGCAACTTCAGCAGAACAGCATGTTCAATAAAAGAACAACTGCTAATTTCAATAGCACACTGACATTTAAACCAGTTCCTCAATAATATTTCTACACAAATTAGTTTAGATTTATTTCCAAAATATTATCATACTTAACGTAGGTCACTTCTGCAAACTTAATTTTTTCATATGTGCTGAATGTGGACAAATGTCATAAAGAAAAAACACTGCAGAGGCATGACCTTTAAGGAAGATGCTAATGGCATAAGCAAGTCCTTACCCAGGAAATAGATAATAAATTGAAGAAACCATAAAACACCAGCTTTGCAAGCAACATGCCAGCAATCTTTTCACAAGAAATTGGTTTGAGTTCATTGCATAGCTTCCAAAGGCAAACCGAAGCTAAATGGTGACACTGAGGTATAATATTTCAGAAAAGATGTGCATAGAACTGTGATAAATCAATAACCATGTTTAGAGTTCCCGAGACAGTATTAAGATGTCTTAACCTAATATCAACAAAACACAATGTAACTATTTATTTTCATAATTATTAAATTGTCCAAGTACAATGTTAAGTACTTCAACTAGCCTGTCCCTAGGGACTACAGACCATTGTGGATTATATAAGAGACTAAATTTACATTTTAGGTATTGTTCTCTAGGAGTATAAACACAGAGCATGTGCTTAATGCTCTATCAATCACCAGACTGACTTCCTTGCAAAAGGCTTTTTCAAGTCTTTAGACTGTGTAACTATCCAATACATCAGCCTTTGTCTTTCTTTTTGTCACTACTTGACAAATACTTCTGGAGTCACTAGGAAGTTGCTATGAACTTAGAAGTAAAGGATTACAACTGCTGTAACAAAGACATTAACACACTCTCTATGAAGCTTCATTAGGTACTACAGTCCAACCATTATTAATAAAAGGTAAAGTGTTTTTAAAAGCAAAATTATTTTTTCCCTTAAATATAATTTCACAATTCACTGAAGTTTTCTGAGACAGAATAAATTAAAGATCCTGACTGGGAAGAGAGTGAAACCAAGCAGTGCCTCCTACCCTGTGGAAAAAATGCACATTTCCATTCCACATCTTAGTAAGGACACTACAGACATTTTTTAAAAAGCAATGCAAAAGCATACTGGATAAAAGAAAGCTGGCAAGACCTTGTCCTAGAGGAAATGTTGCAGAGAGAGAGATGTGTCACTTGAATTGTCTTCCCTTACCGTGTCAGAGCCTGCTGTTTGTTCACAAAAAAGGCTGAGGAGTCCTCCAGATGGATTCAAGTTCTTCCTTCAGCTCCTGCTTCAGATCCAAGTGACTTGTGATCTCCTAAAGCCAAGGATAAGGGTGGAAGAGTGAAAGAAGCAGACAGACCTGCATGCTGTCCTCTCTCCTTTTATCCTCCTATCTAATGGGAGGATCCCCAGCAGGATCTCCTTAATGCTGCCCACCCTTCAAAACAGACCTCCCCACAGACTTCAGCAGCATGGACCATTTTCCTCTCTTTGCATTTTTCCTTAGCTAGCAACAAAAACAATTCCTCCCCACCAATCAGGCCTACAACGTTAATAGGATTCTACCCTAGGAAAAAAAAAAAAAAAAAAAAAGCTACAACGTCATATCAAAAAGCTGAGATCATTGCTCAGTTCTCATGTTAAAAGTAATTTTATATCCTCTGACAAGTAAAGAATCTCAAAGACAAATTGTAAAAATAAAACAGCTTTCTTGATCTACAGGTAAACAGAAACACTTCAGTGAAAGCCTGCACATGTGACTCCCACAGACCTATTCTTTGTAATGGATCATATCCTTAGATGTATATATACAGGTTATTTTAATAGCTAGCACACACTGGAATTGTGCCCCCCTTAATTGCTACCCTTTTTATCTTTTGATGACAAGTAGTGACAGAGATACAATGTATATAATGTTATTCTCCACTGTTTCCAACACCATCCTCTTTAGCCGAATAACCCTTTCATCATAGTATCTGAAATCCTTTGCTTAACGTTTGGCAAGCTTGCAATGCTACCATCATTCTTTACTAAAAACAAAATTAATGTATTAACACAGCACTGAGCAGTATCTGTACGTCTTGAGGTCAGGCAATGAGAAAAAAATACATTAATAGAAACACAAGCCTTTCCTTTCACATCACTAAAACAATTTTAAAAGGAAATCTGCAAAGTTTGCTTAAAACTTCTGTGGAATTAATGGCTTGTGTACCGTTGAACAGACATTGTCTTGAACCTTCCAGTTTAAGGAGATGTGCCTGCTACAACAGCCTTAAAGCATCACTTACTGGGTATCTGCAGACCGTCTTCCTTAGATTTGCAAACTGAACAGTTCTACATTTTCTACTTGTGACTGAATAGCAAACCACCACAAGGAAAGAATCTTATTTCTTGTAAGACGATAAAATTTCTCTCTCTTTTGCAAAGGTTTTTGGATTTTTTTTCTTCTAGTCAGGAGGCTGTGACAATTTAAGTCACAAACAGTACTTGTGCAGCCCTAAAACGTCTCACTGAAACATAACTGGCCAGAAGAATTTAAATTTGCGTTCATTACAGCAGGTCAATGTGTATTGCAATTATTTGACCAAATTGTTTTCTTAGGTGATTAAGTGAATATGCAGCAGAGAAAGACAATATACATGGAAACTTCCAAATCAAAATCTTCTACAGAAAGCATATTTGAAATGAAATAAAATGTAGAAACCCATCACCTAATGAACAGAAGTGCAAATTTCTCTGAAACAATGCGACAGCCAGCCGATGCCAGGAGGCCGTAGGAAACCCCACCAGGTGTTACTTGCCCCCAGAAGCTCTGGGTCACAACAGGCCTGGCACAGCTGAGCCCAACAAATGCCAGCTTACCCTGCTGCTAGCATGGCTGCTCAGAGACACTCAGAGCATTGTGAAAACCATGTTTATGGGCAAGGGTGAGGACGCTGTGACAGACCAAGAGCACTGCAGGGGAAGCCCTTTCACAAGCCCGTGAAGAGGCAGGGGAACTTATTACCTACTGAGGTTGAATTCACTCGGGAGAACAAGCAACAAAAAGCAGTTAAGGTCTACATGTATAAGCGAACATATAAGAAAGGTGTGAGAAAAACTAAGCCTCCCGTCATCAACAGCCCTTGGGCGACCAAGCCGCGCACCATGCTGAGCGCCAGCCCGGCCCCTTGGCCGGCCGTACTGCGCATGCGCCAGCGGCGCCTCCCGGCTCTCGCGGCCCGTCCTCGCG